AGATCAATTAATCGATGACAATCCTCGTCTAAATTTAAAAAAGTTTAACAAAATTTTTTTTGGAGCATTTATGTCTATGAATTTAGCACCTATTGGCTATCGGACCATAATTATAATAGATATTCAAATATGTGATCAGTTTACCAAATAGCTAATAAACTGCGATTATTTTTTAATATACCAACGAAATTGTTCTTTTTTACCAAAGCCTAACTTCAAGTCCAACCCCAATTCTTACCTATTCATTGATTTTTATTTCCTCGTACAAAGAAGGGGTAGAAATTAATTCGCCTGTCTTAAATTGAAGACAAAAAGAGAGAGAAGAGAAATTGATTCTGCAAATTGGCCTCCTTTTGAGGCTTCATGCATTCGTTCGGCCCAGGTAGAGTGTGAAGTGGACTTGTGTGATGGATCATTAGGTTTGATAAAAACAAATGGGTCAGGCCCAAGAAGTGGTGGATAGGAAGGGAAGACTTTCTAATAATTATTTGATTTGAGTCATTAATCTCACAATAAAACAGATCTGATTAAAATGGGAATTGCCATCACTTTGTGTCATTTTTTCCTTTAATGTTACATTATATTAATCTTTTATTCATTGGTCGTGTGTGAGCGCTTTTATTTTATTTTATTTTATTTTATAAGATTTTGGAGAGTGAATGTTTAATTATTTTAGGTTTTATTGTTTTTCATTTGCATTCGAAAAATACTTTAGGAGGATATACTCTATGGCCAGATTTTAATCGAATCCGTTTAAATTGTCATTTTTTATTCTAAAATAGTCTTATATCCAAAGCTATGTTACAATAATAGGAAATTATTTTATGCCCTATCATATAATACTTCCTTTTTTATTTTTTTGCTTTTTGACCAAAAAAAGGTTCAATTAGTAAATTTACGGAAAAATGTGTAGCAGAGATATGAAAAGGCGAGTAATTTTGAGGACAGTCCCTAGAGGAACCAACCTTTGCCCCCAATTTAGTTTGCTAATTTGAATTTTTATTTTGAACAAAAAAATTCAAACTGTGTGGTTTGAATGCGTAGTTCACGTTTTAATTTGAATATGGAATAAAATTTAAATTTGTGTTTAGTAGGTGTAAAAAACAGAGATAGTAGATACTTTTTTACTGTTAAAAAATGGTTTGAACAGTTAAACTTGAGGACGGAGCTAAACGCTAAGTTAGACCGTTTAACTCAGTTCAAATTGAAAATATAATTTAAATTGTATACTTACCAAATACTAATTTAAACTGTGTTTACGTTTAACCTGAGTTGAACTGAATCAAACTAATAAAACATACACGGGCTTTTTCTATTCCACTAGATATTGAACTTTTGGATTATACCCCCACAAATAGATTGGTCTAAGCGTCAACAACCTACAAGATTACCACCGGAAATCCATCAGGTGTCGCTAGAAGGCGGTCTTCGGTCAATGTCTAGAGCATTGTTGCGTGTTAAGCTTCTATGATCTATATTCATCTACTCCTTTACCAACTATACATACTTAAAAAAACAAATTGGGATATTGCATAACAAAACCTACATTGGCTCACATCTTAAGTTTTTTTTTTTTGAAGAAATAATCAGCTAATAATGTTTGAAGCACTTTGCTTGCAATTTTTTGATTGAAATTAGTATTGTTCAAAACAACTTACCATAATCCTTGAGAAGAAACAACTTCCCATTAATATCCTATAGAAAGAAATTGATGATTCCACATTCTTTGTAAAGATGAGTGATCGGTGTGAGCGTAACCAAAAAGGTCTCTAATGGAATTAATATTTATATTGAACCATATTTATTGGCATCGAGAAATCCATCCACACGTTACATAAAGAAGGTAATTAAAGCTGGCAGATATATTTAAAATACTTTTCTTTTTAAAACAATTCAACGGTAGAGAGCATAAAATAATACCAATAACATATTATATTAATTATGTATATTATATAATTTTTTATAATATTTTGATCAAATTTAACGTTTAAAAATATGCAATATAAATAAAATTCTTTACCATAAAAAGCTCCTATTTTAGAGGGCTTAAGCATTGTTTCTTAGGTTAGGCGGCTTTGTGAATTCTACTTATAAGAAGTCTTACTATTTTCTATAAACAAATCAAAAAAAGCTTAATTAAAATCTTTCCTAGACTCGCTTACGTTTTGCTAGTTATTCTTTCCCAGTATTTAAACGACAAAAAAAATAAGGAAATAAATAAATAAACACATACGCACACATTCACTGATTCAAACCCAATAATAATAGACTTCTAAAATCAAAACCTTCAGCGACATAACCCGTAATGTTTGGCTTCAAAGAAATAACAAATAATTTCAGGGTCAAATTCTATCAATTCTCTATATAATTCATAATATTTTAGTCCCGCTTGTGTCCTGACTCATGGGAATGAAAAGATAAAACGACAAATAAAATACCCAAAATATGTTTATCCTTGCAATAATAATGGGAAAAAAAACATGGATTCTGTGGATTCTGGCAAATAATTTAGTGGCCAGATTATCTGTATCAAATAATTAAATCCTCTACCATATCCTCTAGAATGTCGCTTGGAAGATTTAGCTTATTTTGAAGCCTGAAAGTCAAGCACGCTGCATTGATTAATTATTTTAGACTCTCTTTCCTTTTCCTTTTTTTTTTTTTTGTCTGAACAAAATTATAAATGCTTATAAGACTTTCATATAACATTCTTTAATTCCCCCTTTTTTTTTTAAGTTTTTCTGGTTTTTTTTTTCTGATTAAATAAATGCTGATTGTATTTATTTTTCATGTGGGACATTGCCAGCCTATATTTTTTGGACAATATAAGCACATGAACCAGCAGCAGAGAGACTAGAACAACTGGCCTTTCTACATTCCTTTAATCCGCCTACATTTTACAAAGTAATTAAAAATGAGGGACTTGCCCTCACGTGACATCACAACCGGTTCATGTGTCATCGTAACCGACTGAAATACTAGCATAATTCTCTTATATTGAATCGTAAAGTGACAAGATCAAAAATTATTATTAAAGAAAGCAAATATCTTACTCTCGAAATCAATTGTAGAAATGTTATTTAAAAGAGCCGTATGAGTATACGATTGCTATTTTGTTTTTTAGTTGAATTTTGATTTAAAATGAAGTTATTTTTTCCTTATAAAAAAATGGAATCAAGTTTCTAGTCTTTTAGGGGTTATATATAAATTTCGCATATATAGAAGTTTAAAAAACAAAAATTGAGGGGGACTTTTTAATCTCTTAGGGAGTTATATATAAATTTTGGTCTACACATAACCTTAAAAAACAAAAGTTGAAGGGGGGGAGGTGTGCTTAAACCGCCCCAAGACTATACTGGTTACGTCCTTGGTCATAACAATTATTATTTTGGAAATCAAAAAACAATTTTAAGCATATGGCAATAAACAACTGTCATGTACACCTGCCATTAATAATTATATGAATAATATTGAAAGACACATCAACGATTGTCGTTTTTAATATGAATAATAATATGCACATATGTCTTTTTTAAATCTGAATAATATTATCATGAAGAATTATCTGTTATGAAATTTGTTTATAGGCACATCCGGTCATATATGAACATTTGTTTGGAGTAATACATGACAATCGTTTATTATCATATGCTTTTAAACGATTTTTGGTTCCAAGAAAGTAAATATTATGACTCAATACAATAAAATTACGATAATCTCTCCGCCAATTATGCTAATCTTTTAATTAATTGCAATGGGGAAACTAATGTTTGGGCTTAAATCATTCTTTGATTGGCTTGTACTTGGTTGCCCTCTACCAAAGTGCAATTCTTTCTTCTTCTTCTTTTTTTCCCACCGGAACTAATTCAAAAATTACATCCCGTGCTGCAAACTTCTATAAGAATTTGTTGACACCGAGTCTGTACCCTTCACGTGATAAATTTTAATAATTTGTCGAGTTTAATCCGATATATAATTTTTTATATCAAATGCAATGCATTTTATTTTTACATTTGGAGACCCAAATGGAATACAAGTTACCAGGAAAATAAAACTTTGCAAAAAGGTTTATGTTACATTTTTTAGGGTAAAAAGGTTTATATTATTGAATATTTGAATATGCCGTTATTTTAGTAGCACCAACGTTTTTCTTTTCATTCTAAAATTGCACTTGTTGGCAATTAGGATATTGAAAGTGATTAATAAGTTTCTAAAACCACCATAATCACTTGCATTTGTACAAGAAGCGGCTAATTAACTCTTCCATTGATTTTTTTTCCCTTTTTCTTTTTCCATTGGTTCACAATCTCTTTTAAGAGTAACCATACCCATAAGTATATGTTGGGTAGTGCATTCCATTCATTATTAGCGCCATTGACTTTGGTTTCATTTTTAATTAAAGTTGCATTCTTCGTGTTTGTCAACATTTGTGTGTGGTGGTGCGCATTTTTTGCATGTTGAACTACTTTGGAAGTTAGGTTCAAGGCCGCTTTTGACTTTCATAGGATTAAATAGTCTTAAATGGACAAAGAAAAAAAATAAAAGTAAGACAGAATATAAAAAAAATCTTTGCAAGATGTAATAACAAAGTTGACTACGACTCCATCTTTATCTTCAAGTCATTAAAAATTCCATTTGCCAATTAGGGAGCCGCTAATTTGGTCATTATCTCCATTAATTATTGGCCGACCAAGCAAAAAGTCCCAACACCACAAACTTAAAACCTCCTTTAAGAATAAAAAACCTCGCAATAATGATCACAAAACATATCTAAAAGGACTTATACTATTTAGAGTCTGTTTAGTTCGCTGATTCGAGTTTTTAATTCGAGTTGAGATGTGATTTTATGTGAGAACTTTTTACTGTAATAAAAAGATTAGATTTAATTGTTTGTGAGAGCTTTTTACTGTAGCAAAACTCGAATTCTAAACTCAAATTAACGAAATAAACGGAGCCTAGTAAAAATAATTTACAAAACAAATAAATAAACCCCACCAAAAGGCATCTAAATTAGATCAATTTCAAGTTAATCACAACACTGCACCGTTTTAGCAAATATTAATAGAGATTCTTCCTCTCTCTCTCATTTTCCCTCACTCATATTTATATCTCTAACTAATTTACATCCAACCCCCAACCTTTCTTCTCAACTACTTTTTAGATGTTTAAACAAAGGGGGAAAAAAAAAAGAAATTAATTAAAAAATAAAATCCCGGTAGTGGTCCCTATCCGGTTGTTTCTTTACGGTTTCCCCACCGTTGACTCGAATACCAAGGAGATCCCACCAACCGCCGGCGCGTTGTCCTGCACGCTCCCCGGCTGCGCGTGGGCGTGGCGGTGCTCCCCTTCGTAAGTTACGATCAGCATCGCCGGATCGTCGGGAGCCCTCTCCACGTGTTTCCTAGCCGGACAACCCCTCATGGTGCTACACTTGTAATAGCCCCTGAAAATACAAAACAACAACGCGTTTTAGACTCGTAAATTTTTTCGTACATTAATCATATTTCTTTGATATAAAAATTCAGTATTAATTTTTTTTTTTAAAAAAAGGATAAGGTGAAGGATTGTGGTAGAAACCTTGGATAAGGAGAGCCTTTGATGGGCTTTTGTCCGTATTTCCTCCATGAATACTCGTCCTGTGGAATATCGGCGATTTTTGAACTAATCGCCGGGACACGAATGGTCTTCTTCACTCGATTTTTCCTGAACCACAACAAAACGACAAAATTTAATTACTTTTTTTATCTCATTAGCCAAAAATTTATTATTATTATTATTATTATTATAACATATATTAAGCCTTGACAAATCATAATCGTGAGCGACTAGTGCTAAAATGAGCCAGGTGAGACCTTAACCGCACATCAAATGTTTAGTCAAACGTACAGAAATTCAAAGTCATCCCCACACGGTTGAAATGACCAGAATGTCCCAATTACGAATTATCTATCTTTCTCCCCTAGACAAGCCATTTGAAAAAGGGAAAAGCCGCACTGTCATTGTCGCGCGTGCCGTGTCCATTAATAGACTATAACCTATCTCGTTGACCAAATATAACAGAGTTGACTCGCTCGGTTCAACTCAGTCACCACCGAGTTAATACGCTAATTGACCGACTTAACTCGAATTGATTAAACAATTTAAAGCCTTCGCGAGTTTTTAACGCGAATTTTTAATTCGAATTAAGATGTGATTTTATATGAGAATTTTTTATTGTAAAAAAATTAGATATGATTGTTTATGAGAACTTTTTACTGTAATAAAATTCAAATTCTAAATTCAAATCAGCGAAATAAACAGGACCTAAAAGATGGTTAATTTCATTTTTAATAAGAAAAAATACTGTATCTTTATGTATCGAATTATATGATCTAAATAAATAAATTTTTATTTTAAATGTAATAATTTATTGATTTGAGTTGTAACGAATTATATGATCTAAATAAATAAATTTTTATTCTAAATGTAATAATTTATTGATTTGAGTTTTATATTTAGGTTGAGATTTAATTTTATGTAAAAATTTTACTCTAATAAAATTTAAATTTTATATTCAACAAGCCTTAAATTCTAACGTACGCGCCAAGTGCTAAAATGCGCGGTGGAGGTTGAGGATAAGAGCGGCTACCTTCTCTTGGAGCAATGGCACTTTCCGGATCCGGACGCGGATCCCGATATCTTCCCAGAGGCTTCGCCGGAGAGCTCGTGCTCGTGGCACCTCTTCTTGAACGGCGCAACCGAGAGAGGCGGCTTCCCGCCGGAGACAGTCGGCGCCGCGGCGGCGGTTAAGAAGATCGAGCCTTGCTTCCCGTTCGAGACGCTGCCGTCGCCGGTGATCGCCGACGACATGAACGACGAGCTCGACGAGACGCTGAACTCGAGCTCGGCGCTCTTGTGGCTGGAGCTCAGGAGATTCGGCTTCGTGAAGTCCAGAGTCATGCTCTGCGGCTGCTGAGCCTGGGCGAAGGCCGTCTGAACCGTTGCCTGAGGTGCGATCGGCGCCGGAGGAACGTACGCCACTGTCGCCAGGGGAGTAATTTGAGCGGGAGCTAGAGTTAGGGTTTGGTGGTGAGGATGAGGAAGAGAGAGAGAACCGGAGGAGGAGGTAGAAGAATTAGGCGGAGAAGAAGAAGACGAGGGCTGAACCGGAGCGCGTCTGAACCGAGCGTGGCCGGTCCGGTTCAGGAGAGAGATGACTTTTCGGAACTTGGACACGGTTGCGTCGGTGAGGTCTGTGCAGTCCGTCAGGTTCGGGTGGGCATTACTACTGTTATTGTTGTTGATTTGTTGTTGCTGGTGAGAAAGGAGACGGATCAGGTGCTCCATGTTCTTCAGGCCTTGCGATGCAGCCTCCTGGATCGCCTTCTGATCGTCCATCTTCGGGAAGCCCATCAGCTCCACCGCCATTGAGAGAGAGTGAAGATTTTAGAAGTGTTAAGTGGGAAAGAAAGATTTCAGACGGTCCTGGGCTAAGAAGAGGACCTTATAGAGAGGAAATGAGAAGGAAGTGAGAAATGGAAGGAAGAGAGGGGAGATGATATAAGAAGACGAAGAAAGGGTGATACTACCGGGTGACCGGGTAAAAGGGTTGGAATTTTAGAAAGAGAGAGTGGAGAGAGAGTTCTGTGTGAGTCAAAGTTGTTACGTGATCCGACGGCTGAGAGGGGTTTGAAGATTTCAATTGGGAGTCGTGAATAAAGAATTCGAGGTAAAATTCAGATGCTGGTCTTTGCTTTTGAAAGTGGTGGGTCCCGCACGTGGGAAAATCAAAGTTATGGTTTTATGGGGGTGTGATTACAACAACTCTAGTTCCTGTTTAACTAGTTTTTGGTTTTTAATTATAAAAAAGACAAGTTTTAAGGTGTTTTTTTTTTCCTTCCTTCAACTAGTTTTCTTTTTTCCTTCCTTGAACTTGTTTTCTTTTTTCCTTCCTTGAACTAGTTTTCTTTTTTGGTTTCTTATAAAAAAAAAAATTATAACCTGTCGGTAGAATATTTTGAGGATGCTGACAATACTAGAAACTGGACTTTGGTAAGAGTAAACTGATTCAAAGTTGTTTTAGAGCTGTGATCAGCAGGGTAATTAAGAATCTTTTTCTTTGTTTTCCTTTTTTCACTTTAGTCAAGTTTTTCCTTCGAAATTGTTTCTTTTGATTTGCTAACGTCAAGGTGCCCAACTTTTACGTTTAGTTATTCAAAACCTTTTGAGTGGCATAAGAAGTAGGTCATTTTAATTTACAACATTAACATATATAATGAGTACGGTTTTTTTTTTTTTTTATATAAAAAATGGGTAGTTTAAGTTATATAGTGCCTTCCAATTAAATATTGTTTCATTATGTTATATTACTTGAAAATGAGTAATTGGGTATTTCAAATTTATTGGTAAGTAACCCATTTTTATGAGCATTGATTAAACATGTTAACAATTTAAGTTAAAACCTTTACACCACCTACTAATTTATAATACCATTTTTTTTATGTATCCATATTACAATTGAAGAGAAAAGGAACAACCTTTACATACATATATACATATATTGTATTATTATGTTTCTGGTAAAATATCATATAATGAAGGGGTTTCTTCAATTGGAACCAAAGACAAAACGATATAACAATAACCAATTTCAAATTTAACATTTAGCTATCCTAGTACGAAGTTTGTTGTTATATCATCATCGAGTTAACTTTTAGTCTCATTCTTTTTCTTACTTGGATTTCCAAGGATGACCGTTTCATAATTTCAAAGACTAGTTTGTCTTCATTCAATTCTTTGGCAAGACCTCAATGATGCTTTTGTCAAAAGAGAATGCATTAGTTTTCAAATTATGACTTCAAGTATTATTCCATCGGCTTAAAAAAAAACAAAACAAAAAAAAGAAGGCTTGAAAGTTGAAATGGTAAAAGTTTAAATTGAGTCCGCGGAATCAATTAATAGCTAATTTGACCCCATTTTTTCATTACCATAATACACTTTTCTTCTAGAAATAGTCTTCAAAATACTTCGCCGTTTGGTGAAAAATGGCCATTTTAAAAAAGAAAAAGGTCCTTCAAGAATTAAGAAAAAGAAAAACCTCAAACCTAACTAATCACGAGATTAATTAAAAAAATTAATTGATGAGAGAGAAAGAAAGCTGACCAAAAGTGGTGATCACGTGGAGTCATTCGTTTTTCTTATCTAAATCTGAAACTGTTGACCAACTTTTGTATTTTTCTTTAGAAACGTTGTTGCCGTACCTCTACGTAGGCCGTTCGATGGTCTGAATTGTGATCGAACGGCCCAGGTGAGTGAAATAGAGTTGACTATGACTTTTATTTATTTATTCTCGAATATCTCGAACTCGAAGTGGTAATATATCACTCTTCTTTCGCCACGTGGTGAACTAATAACGCGTGTCGCGTAATGAAAATCAGCTATTCGTTTTTTTTTTTTTTAATTTCTTTATTTCCTTATTTTTTTCTTGATTTTGAAAAACAGGAAAATTGAGAAAGGGGAAAAAAAAATGCACGAGGGTTAAGTCGGGGAGCTTTTATTATTTTTCTGCTGTTTTTGTTTTTTCTTTCTATACTGATTGCACTTCACGTGTTATGTACATAGAGAATAATTTATGTGAAAAATTTCAATTATCATATTATTATTAAAAACATATAATATTTGAATATAAAATCTCAAAAAAATCAAAATAAAAAAAACAATATTTTAGGACAATAAGTCAAAAAAAAGTTAAAAAATGACTAAAACAAAAGAAAAAATAGGTTTTAATGCAAAATGAATTAAAATGAGAAAATAAAGATTCAAGACAAAAATAAAAAAAATGATTCAAACAGATAAAGTTTCAGTAAAAAAAAAAAGAAAAAAAATATCAAAACGAAAAAATAAATAAATTTTAAAGTAAAAAGAACTAAACGGCAAACAAAATAAAAAAAAGTAAAAATAAAATAAATAAATAAATAAATTGATAAGAGGAATCAAAAAGGAAAATAATTAAATTTAAGTGTAAAGATAAAAAGGGTAAAAAATGACTAAAATTAAGCAATAAATAAGTTTTAAGGCAACAAGAATCAAAATGAATGAAAATAAAATTTGAAAAAAATATAAAAAAAGGTCAAAAAAATAACTAAAATAAATAAATAAATAAATTTTAGAGTACCACTAGAAAAAATATCTAATTAGGATAACATCTATAAAAAATTAATTTAGTTAAATAAAATAAAAAAAGTTAAAAAAATGACAAGAATTAAAAATATAAAATTCTATGAAACAAATAAAAGGAAAAAAGAGTATATGTAAAGAAAAAAAAACCATAAAAAAAGCAACAAAAAAAAAAAAGGACCTCTTAATCAAACCGCGCGTTACTATTAACTGAACAATAACTTTTGAGACTTATTAAAGTGTATACGTAGATACGTATGTATAGATCCTTTGAACCTATTGTAAGTCGAATTTTAATAAGACAAAACTTAGCCGTTTTTTTTGTGTGTGTGTGTGTGTGTGTTAATTTTATGTTTTTAATAAACCGCTACAAGAAATAGTTTTATAAATAACATAGGTTTCTATTTATTTGCTTTTATATGGTTATGTGATCAATAAAGGAAACTATTTGAGCCGTTAAATAGGTTTGTTTAATTCGTTAATTCGAGTTAAAATGTTATTTTATGTGAGAGTTTTTTATTGTAATAAAAAAAATTAGACGTGGCTGTTTCTAAGAGTTTTTTATTGTGGCAAAACTTAAATTTTAAACTCGAATTTGTTCATTTAACGTGAAGTCAATGATTTAAATTGAACGTATACACCAAAATACTGTAGAATAAAATGCACATAATTATCCGTAATTACTCAATGCAATTTTTTTTTAAAAGTTCTGGAGATTTATGAGTTAAGTCATCGTGTCGAAGATCTCTCCAATGTAGGGAAGGGGCGGCGAGGAAGATCGCGTGGTGCAAAGCAGTGGGTTCACGCCGCCATCTTGTGGAGTCGCTAGCACATTGGGATGAAATTGGGGAGGTCCCTCAATGACCAACTATGGAGGTTTGCCTCACCCAACCACCGACGAATCCCCCCTCCACCTCCATCGGGTGCGATCATAGGGTCTTGACCACTGTCGTGACATCTCTGGCACTAGAATAGTGACAGATCCGTCGCAAAACCCGGCCGGGGGTTTGCCTCCATGGCTCATGATGACAAGGTCCAGGGTCGCCCCACCTGTGATGAATCCCTCTCTCCCCCTCCAATTCCATTAGGCTCGACGACACCGCTGTCGTGACCTCTCTGATGACATAATCGAGACTCCGTCGCAAAACCTGCCGATACGCACCCACAATACTCTCTCCGTCACATTTCGGGTTGTTTAGTTCGCTCATTTGAATTTTTAATTCGGGTTTAGATATAACTTTATGTTAAAGCTTTTTACTGTAACAAACTCGAATTCCTTCTTTCTCTCTGTTTTGTTTTGTTTTTTTCTTTTTATTTTTAATTTTGATTTGTAAAAAATTAGGTAGGCTGTGTTTGATCAATTCCATCCTTGTTCATTGTGAACAAAAGAATTTGTGGGCCCACTTTACATCCATCAGCTATTTTTAATAATAATAATAATAATAGGGCCCACAGCATCCGTTATATTATACAATTTATACTCATTGGTATTTGATACTCTTAGATACGACTTTCAGATGTGCCAATTAGCATTTCAATATATGCATTTGCATCTTATCATGATTGATCTACGTCGAGCCACTTAGTTAAATTATTCCTTGTTATCTTCAATCCTTCAGTATAATTATTATTATTTTTTTCAACCAGTGGTATTTCCATGTCTTAAGTAAGTTGAATAATTTATTGGCTAAAGGTAGTTCTAACTTCTACGTGTCTTAATTAATAACGATTTCATTGTCAAAACATAAGTTAATCACAAGAATGACAACTCTCTCTCTCTCTCACAATTGATAAAATAATTGTTTTTCATCATAGAATAAATGAAAACAATAGCTTTGCATACGAAAGAGTTGAGAACAAACCCACTTGCAAATATATTTAAAAAAAAAAAAAAAAACACTATACATTCGATTAGTATCTTAAAAGTAAAAGCTTAATCAAATTAAAGAAACAATATATTGGCAATCAAATTTTTTATTATTATTATTATTTCTCCATCTTGGTCTATTTATATCTTAATAAAATAGACAAGATCTCGGCCGTTTACTTCAAATAAAGAAATTAACATAATCGAGGAAGATCCCAAAAGTTGATGCCAACTTAAACATTCAATAATCTCTTATAAATCCACGAGAATCCATTCTAATCCAACTTGACTTTCTTTTTAAGCATATGCATATCAGCAGGCTTGGCAAATCTCAGACAAAGAACCATTTGATTGTGGGCACGTTTGATATAAAAAATATTTGATTTTTTTTTTTTTAAAGTGAAATGCACGAATTCAGTCATTATAATTTATTTGGCTGGAAAATTTGGAGATTATATATTCAAGATATCCTACATATTAATTGTTACATTTCAACAATGGTACTTTTTTCCAGTTGCCAATTTGTTGCGCACTTATCTTCCAGAGGCTATAAATATTGTATTCCCACAGAAACTAGAGTTAACTAAATAAATAAAATACGTCAGCAAAAAAAAAAAAAAGAAAAGAAATAAATTAGACTTAAACCTTATATTTCATTACTTATCAATCGGGGAAAATCGCTTGCAAAGTATTCCTCCAGCAGCCATTTCTGACCTTGGATTGAATAATAATAATAATAATAATAATAATACTGCAATTAAAATAAAAGTAATAATAATTATTATTATTATAAACTAAAAGAACTTACAATTTGGGGTATTTTAATTTGTATTTCTTTATCAAGTATCATCTCCCACTTCACACATTACTGTTCAACATTCACTTAGAACAAAAAAAAAAAAAAAAAGTTGCCAGCTCCAAAACATAAATCTGGCATGTGACACGAAAAAATCTTATTCAATTGCAAGTACCTGTGAACATCGCGACTCTATCATCCATCTGCATAATATATATGGGACTTTACTATAATATTTTCAGAGAACGATAATTCTCTGTCACATATAAAAATGAGAAGTATAATATTATATTAATACAACGTAACACTGATATTTAAAAGTTTTAACAATAATTTGCGATAAATGTTTGTAGCATCCACATCTTTCCGTTGCTAGCTTACATATATATGCTAGGTTATATTTCCTACTTTTAAAAAGAATTATAGTCAAGCCCATGCCTATCAATATTTATGTTGTGTTTGTATTTCCCATACGGCGCTGCAAGTCATTGTCATAATGTATATGCAATCCTATTCAGCCAAAAAAAAAAAATATATATATATATATATATGCAATCCTAAAAAAAAAAAAAATGTTAGTCTGGTATAAGGTACATATGGTAGTCTGATATACGGTAGAGAAGAGTTCTACGCATCATCCGTGAGAGTCAATTCAATCATTTATTTAATTAAAAAAATCCAAGAGCCCGTTTGGTATACAGTTTTAAACTAGAGCTTTTAATTATGACTTTTAAAATTTAATTTGTTTGTGAGAAAAAAATGCTGTAACAGAATCAAAATCATTAATACTGTAGTAGAATTCTTATACCAAACATTATGTGGACGTTTAGTTCATGAATTCAAAACTATGATTCAAAATTATTCTCGTTTTATGTGTGTTTTTTGTGAGAGAAAAATACTGTAAAGAATCATGAATTATGATTCAGAATCAGAGACGAATGCAGGAAACAAACGTCCACTAAGTATTTAACCATTTCACTCCAATCATTAAAAAAAAATTTACGACACTAATCCATTTCACTGAAAACTGAAAAGTCATCTTTGTTGAAAATATTTTAATAAACATGTCGGGGACGCAAAAGGGGCTAAAATTAAGGGGCATATGAGCTCAATCCGGGGAGCAAGTGATGGCTCAAGTAGTGTCGGGTAATCTGGTTGATACAAATTTTGGGAGAGAAATAAAATTTCCTCAATCCAGTTAATCTTGATTTTGAAAGAAATGGGCATTAAACAAAAAGAGCAGCAAAAAGATTTCACACTCTTGCAACACAAGCAACTGATGATACTGATAAATTTATAGCCTGTATCCATTTAACTCTCTCTCACATTTGTAGAATGGATGGACAAAACTTGCTCTTCATAAATAAGTAACGTGGTAAATAGGAGCCACAATTGACCTACATCTCAGTTTGTGTGATGGTAACCATCACCCACAAAAAGAAATGTTGACATCATAGGATTAATGCCTAGAGGTCTATTGAAAAGTTGCCAGGTTAAAAATTAAATGCCCTAATTCTACAATACCATGAGTAATAAAATCATAAAAGAAAAGAAAAAAAAAAGCACAAAATTTATAGTTGTTCCACTCTAATTAAGTCCGTTTTCAATCGCCGCAAAAATTCACTATAATAATTAATAAATAAGATTACAAGAAATCACAACTCGTGCTTCTATTGGACTCTTATGTGTTTTCTCACACTCCACTAATGATCTCCGCCTGCTGTCTCTACGTCACCGTAATAATTAGGCCCCACAATTTAACATGCCAAACTAAAGTTAAAATTATTGCTGCCATATCCATTAACTCTTTTAACTAGGGATGATAGTAATTGGTAGGTGGAAGGAGAGATACCTTGATTACAAGTTAAGCAGCAAATTCAACTGGCCAGTCAAGAAATTTAGACATCAATATATTAAGATGATAACTAGATTTCGGATACAAATGACTAAACTAGAAAGCAAATAAAGAAATACACTCAACTATGGATGCAATTACCTAACTGTTCGATCGTCTAAGCAGATTAAAATCAAGATTTCCACCATTCGGCTTCTTGAAGCCGCCTTTCCTTTCACTTGCTGATGCCTGCTCGTCACCTTGGTTGCTTTTGGGTGATTTATTTGAATATTGAGATTCAGACCCTACGTGCGACTGTTTTCTTTTGTGGTCTCTATTTGCCTTGGATTTGGGTTTGTCTCTATTTGAACACTCTGCTTCATCAGCTGAGGACCCATTTTCTCTGTAGCAAACCAGTTGGAAACTTTGCGTCAGCCAAAGAAATTATATACTCCGTATAGGAGAGTATTCATGGTGAGAACACAAGATTAACAGAGGAGAAAACGTGAGAGCAATTAAAATGTCCATTCACTCACCTAAATGATACTCTTCCACTTTCAGCTCCGGAAGAAGTGGCAGGGGATGCAGGCTGACGAGGTTTCGTTGCTTCTTCATTCAATTTCTGCCGTTAAAACGCTTTGACACGATGAAAACAGAACCCAAAAGACACAGAGGATGAATAGTTATTGGAAATACTTGCACTCGTCCGTGGACTTTTATACTCACATCAATAGACGGGTTGAAACTTTGGAAGGACATTCGACCTTTTACTGCTCCTGGATGAGGGTCGCCTTCCATTGTTACAGCACTGCATGTACAGAGACAGCAATCCTCGTTAAGTATTAAAAGAAAAGAAAATTTTGAACAACAAAAGCGTGTGAACTGATATGAGTCATTTGGTAGCTATGACAGAGCCTCGCTTCCTCTTCACTCCTATCACCAAAATCTTGTGCATATAACAAGATTTTAACTGTAAATTATTAGCTGTATCTAAGTTTCTTTTCTTATTTTATTTTAAAATAGAGTTGTGTCTAAGTGAGTACCTAAGTTTCCAAGAGTATTCAAACGTGGAAGTCACCTTTATATAAATAAATCTGTTTAAGAAACGAATCAGGATGCTCCTGCCTCCTATAGTCTTATGTTACAACCGGCCTGCCGCTATGCGCCAGCTAAAACAGTATGCAATCACTATGTAATAAAATAGTTACTCAACAGCCTCTCAGTCATACAGTGTGTTAAGTATATTTTCAAAAGTTTTCAAGAATGCCATAAGAAATTGAAACTAATGCACATAACTACAGTATGAATAAATCAGCTGCCAAGAAGAACACTTTAACAAAACAATAAGAAACCAAGTTGTCAGATATAATGCATAAAGTTCTGCCCAAAAATCAGCGATAAACATATATAATAGTTCCTTTCTATCCCTCTCTTTTTTCCCCTCACCTTCAAACTTCTATTATAGCATTATCAGAGATATAAGTGATATTGCTAAGTGTTGTTAAGTTGTAACTGATTCAATGCACGAAGGTCTCCAATTTGAGGCATTAGGTTTCACAAAAATTTCCCTCATCAAGAGAAAATTATGCCCACAAATTAAAAATAAAACCTTAGAAGAAGCAGCTCAAAAAACAGGCAAAACCCCATTACATACTCATAAGCAAATACTAATTGCAATTAAACGCCATAAACAAAGAAGCAAAAAACTCAAAACTCTTTGAACAAAACAAAACAGCAATAAAAGAGAAAAGAAAACTACCACTTCCTAGTAACGGTACCACGGGAAGTAAAATTCCCGTCAGGTTTGACCTCTTCTTTTTTCACCGTCTCCTCTCTCTGAGCCGCTCTTTGCATGAACTGCGGTAATATAAAAATAACAAAAAAAATGAAGTAAAAAAAAAAAAAAAACATAAGAAGGTTATTCATTAAAATCAACACTAGAATTCCAGAAATATTGAGTGCTACAAAGAAAAGAAGAAATTCCCAGATGAAAAAATGAATAATACAGTCCAAATTTCAAGTGGGTATTTCAGAATTAAGATTTCAGCAATAAAAATCGAAAAGTTTTACAAAAAAAAAAAAAAAAAAAATAGTAGTGGGTCTTCTGTGTTTCTTACCTTCAAGTTTTTCAGAGTGGTGGAAAGCTCTCGTTTAGCCATATTGAGTTTAAATCCGATACCAATCTTACAATTAAGCCGAGAACTTTAAACTCAAATCTCTGTTTTCCTTTGAAATTCTCGTGGATGGAGGCAAGAAAGGATTTCTGCGCAGCAAGGACGGAGAAGAAAATTACAACCCAGGGTTTCTCCATACAAAATGACAAATTTGTCCCTAATTATATATTGGGCTTCCTTATCTATGGGCCGTGTACTCCCACCAAACCAATTGTGGGCTTAAACAATGCAGCGGCTCAGTCTATTCTCGGAATATTTTTGAGAAAGTTGCTTTTTAAAAAAAAAATTGTTGAACGTACCGTACAAGTGCAATGCATTTAGAGTTTTAGCTTTTATTCTTAATTAGTATCATTTTATTAATACAATTATTTGATAAAAAAGATATTAATTAAGAATAAAAAGTAAAAATTATAACACATAAATTTTTAAGAAGTATTTATTAAGATTTCTCTAAAATTTTTTATGATCATGTAGTAAATAACATTTTACGATAATAAACAACAAGATTTTACTTCTGTCATAACTCATAAAAAAAAAACAAGATTTTACTTCAATTATTTACCGTGAAAATGCTATTTACTTCTTTCTTTCTTTTGGATTATTACTTCTGAAATTGGAATTATGGAAATTGATTCATGAAAACATGTTTAGTTGCAATAACTGAGCAGTGTTCTGAAAGGTATGTTCTTTTGTCCAAAAAACTCAAAAAAAGACAACTCGAGTTTCAACTTTATTCAAGTTTACGTTTTTTTAAGTTTCAATTTTATTCAAGTTACAACTTCAACTTAAGTTATAACTCAAATTTAACTCAAAAACTACACTCAAGTTATACTCCAAAAGAATAACCCCTAAAAAATTGTGAAACTGTTCCGAAAACATAAAGTAAAGACAATTGAGTTACACAAAATGACAACAGCTATTACTAGCAAAGAGTAGCAATTAAGGAGACAAGGTTCTGTTATTTAATTCACAACCCAAAGCCAAAACTACTTCATTCAATTTCCAATAAATAATGCAATACTGTTAAAAGAAATGACCCATCATCATATCATTCATATGGTGAATCATCCACACATCACAACCAGACACAAAGAATTAATGAATTAAATTCCCTTCAAAGTTCAAACCACCACCACCAAATCCCATGCTCTGAAATTTTGAACTAATTAGGATTGGTTTCTACATTGAACTTACAATGAACTATTCGGAGCAATCATATGTTGTTTCATTTTTTTTTTTTGGTTTCGGTAGTTGTCTTTGCAATTAAATGTTGATATTTTGTGAATTGTTTAAGTATTTTTAATATTTTGTTCTTATTTATGTGGTAAAATTCTTAAATTTAAATGACATAGTAAATAATCAGTGAGGGGACAGCTATCGAGATAGAAAAATAAGGTAGCAGATCTAGACTCCTATTTAGAGTTAGGCGTGGTGGACTGGAAGTTCTGATATTCGTGACTATTTCTAAGGGAAATAAAATAAATATATAATTTAGGGGAATAAAGATTAGGGTCAATCTCTTTTAAGTATCTCTGACCTTTTAACTCAATGAGCCCGTTTGTTTGCGTTTTCGTTTTCGTTTTTCACGGTTTTCAAAGCAAAAAAATGAAAACGGGTGTTAAAAACGTGTTTGGTGCAATTTTTTTTAAAAAACAAAACCAAAAACGTTTTTGTCTTTTTGTGGAAATCAGAAAACGAAAAAAAGGTGTTTTCATTTTCTTGTTTTCGTTTTCTGTTTTCTGAAAAACGGATTTCACTTTTTTTTTTCTTTTTCATTTTCTTCCCTCTTTTCTGAAACCGTTTTTGTATTATATATGTTTATTTAATATATTTATTTAATATATTATTATTTAATATATTTAATAATATTATTTATATAATATATTTAATAATATTATTTATTTAAATTATTTAATATATTATTTATTTAATATATTTAATATATTATTTATTTAATATATTTAATAATATTATTTATTTAATATATTATTACATGTTTTCAAAAATTAAACCACCAAACGCAGTTTCAGTTTTTTTTAAAACTGAAATCAATCTCTAAATAAAACTACCAAACGCATTTTTAGAAATAATTCAAAAATGAAACTAAAAACGTTTTCATTTTCATTTTCGTACAGAAAATAAAAACGTTTTGGAACCAATTCCAAACGCACCCAATACCATCTTTAATTTTGAGTTTTAAAGCGTTTTAAACTTAAACCTTGATTTATCATATTGTTTAAATTTTAACTATGTCCAGTCCATGTTAAAAAGAGAATAAATGGTGGATGCAACTTTTTGTTAGTAGAGTGTTATTTTCTATCAATATTATGTATATAATTTCTATTTCATTAGCAAAGTGTTATTTTCTAAGTAATAGGTGCATAATTGATAAAAGGGTTAAAAACTTAAACAAACTAATGGATTGAGGGTGGTTAAATACAGACTATACAGATACTAACATAATTTTTTGACACATGTCATCTCTATTTTACGAAGAAAATTAGCTTAATAACAAGTCACTCTTTTTACACTTATTTATTTATAAGAGTGTCATTTCTCTCTTTTGGCTGCTAAATATAACGATTTTGCCGATCCTCATTCACATAGGCTCGGCTAATTGAATAACTCCCAACGAAAGTAATAAAAAAAATGCAAGAATTATGTTTGTCTCCAGAAGGAACGAAAATTTAATGGAACTTTACAGAAGGAACGAATGAAATCTAAACACGGACTAGTCACAGTAACTCTACCATTTCGAGTTAATCAGTAACACGAAGAAATATAATTAGACGAAAATCCAGTAAAATTTATTTGCCCAGATCAAATGGGTATTCTGATTTCTTTCTTGCTTTTGGCGGGATATGGGTTTATCAGTTGAAATTGTATAGTGTCATTTTTTGTAAATTAAGTAAAAAAGGCTGGACTTTAGTTTCATTAGGATAACCAAGTTACTCTAGAAAATTTAAAATTGTTACGTGGCAGATTGTGGATGTAGCGTCTGAATGAACATATGAATTTAGCAAATCTCCTAATGGATTAGGGTTAAGTTTGAGATGTTTTAAGAGTTGAGGGTTACAGTAAAGTCAAGGGTAACATTTGCTAATTATTTGTAAGATTAATCGTAAAAAGTAATAGCAAAAATTTGAGAGTTTATACCTAACCATTTTTATAGTATGTTATTAAACTACTAAGATTAAGGTCAGAATTTGACGGGGAAAATAAGGGGAAAAAAAAAAAAAGAGAAAAAAGAATGGAGAAAAGGGGAAAGGAGAGAGTAAGGAAAAAATAATAAAAATAGTGAAAAAAATAGAATAACAAAAATAAAAACTTTAAATACTATTCACACATTTGTCCTTGACTTGTATGGTTTTAATAACTTGCTCTATAAATTTGTAATTATGGTAAGTTATTCCTTAAATTTATAAAATTGTTGTAATTTTATTTCATATTGACGATGATTGTAATAAATTAGTATCAGAAAAGCAAATTTGATGAAAAATTTCACCATCACAATTCGAATGTAACACAAATCTTTCAATTGCTCAATTTTTAATCTCTTAAATTTAATAAAAAAAATTGTGCAAATTTAGTAAATGGGTGCACATTGCAACAAATTTACTAATTAATGGGTTGATTGTCAAAATTAAAAGTTTAAGAAGTAATTTGTTAAATCACGACAAGTTTAAGTTCAAGTGATAATTGTGCTAAAAATCAACTTATATAAATATGATATTTATTTTTAAAAATATTTTAAAAAAAGTATGTCATGTCGTGTAATTTTGGTTATTTACATTTTCATGATAAAAAAGAGGACCAAGACATTAAAGTTATTCATGTAAACAGAGAATTGAAATATTGCATTTATAAATAGTAGATACGAGATTGGGACCACTATCACAACTTTCTAACCCCATTCGTTGACGATAGTTTCTAAACCTTTTTAATAAAGCTCTTAATCATCACGATTTGATTGGAATATTGAGTGCAAATTAAATCTATATAATCCAAACTATGCGTCAAATAATGGAACAACAAATTACTTCCAAAACGATATTTGTCAAATAATGGAACAACAAATTACTTCCAAAACGATCTTTCAATATCTTGTCAATGCAATAATTAACAAATTAACGGTGCTAGTTCAAGTACGTGATTTGGCAAAAAATTAATTTTATTATTTTTCTTTTTAAAAAAAATCTGTCCTTATTCGCTGTCCTTTAAATAAAATGTACCTTTTGGTTTCTTGGAAAACTTGTGAGAAAAACCAACACAACTAATGCTCAAGGCTCAAGCCATGTGAAAACCAGAACAAACTTAGCTTGCATAAATAAATAAATATTTAAGTTACACGCATTCCACGCAATATTTTTTTCATTATAAATTTTAGAACAATTTGATGCTCTTCTTTTTTTTCTTTTTTTTTTTTCCCCAAGGGAAGTTCTATTCTATAGTACTCAAGTCATGTGGAAAACAAATTAAGGCATCGTTTATTTTTTCGATTTGAGTTTTTAGTTTTAAGTTTTTACAGTAAAAAACTCTAAAAAAATGTCACATCTAACTTTTTCTGCTACAGTAAAAAACTCTCAGAAAATATTACATCTCAGCTCGAATTTAAAACTCGAATTCATAAAGTGAACGAGGCCAAAACTTACGTAGACGAAGACATTTTTTTCCCCAAAACAAACAGAAAATAACAATTTAGTACATTATACTTTTCCTATTAGCTTTTTATGTTTTCAGATTCTCTTTCTGCAAGTGGTTTCAACTTTCAATGCTCAGAGTCGGACAAGAATCAAGCGGTAACATGAAGTAAAAAGATAGAGTTACTATTTATATAGTTTTGAACAAATTTTTTTTTTTTAGAGAATAGATTCCTAGTACTTTGCATTTCTAAACACTTTAAATTATAATAATATCTCAAATACAACTGAAATAGCTGATTAGAAATAAACGGTCCTTAAATATTTTCAGCAAAAAAAAAAAAGTCCTTAAATATTCATTTTTTATGATAAAGTAACTCTACTTATAATGCGTGTTTTTAAATATTAAAATGATATATATATATATATATATGTAAATCAATATAAATTGCAAAATTTATCAAAGTGTGAGGAGTCAATAAAATATAAATAATGTTGGAATCACCAACACTAGTCATAACGTTTTATATCAATATAGAGTTGTCATTTTCTATTAGAATTGTTTAAAAAATTATCATATCAATTAATAATAAGATATTACAGTTGTTAATGAAAAAAAAAAAAGTCCTTAAATATTCATTTTTTATGATAAAGTAACTCTACTTATAATGCGTGTTTTTAAATATTAAAATGATATATATATATATATATGTAAATTTCAATAAATTGATCAAAATTTATCAAAGTGTGAGGAGTCAATAAAATATAAATAATGTTGGAATCACCAACACTAGTCATAACGTTTTATATCAATATAGAGTTGTCATTTTCTATTAGAATTGTTTAAAAAATTATCATATCAATTAATAATAAGATATTACAGTTGTTAATGAAAAGATAAGAACTCAAAATTAATTTAAAAAATTAGGATTAGAGTTCGTGTTTTTTTTGAAGAAATAAGAGTTTGTGTTTCTAATTCTATTAATTTGCGCAATTCGAGAGACAATTTTAGGTTTAATATGATGTTTTGAACTAACTCAAAACCATAACTTACTCATGAATTCAAAGTATTTCAGACCCATTTTTTACCATGAAAATCACAATCCAATTTCTCATTTTCCTCACACTTCAACACACAGTGAAACACAATTTAAAACTTTATTTCTTACTCAAAATTACATTTTAATAAATATTCAAACATAAATTTAACTCAAACCAAACTCATGAATCAAGTTTTAAATTAGAATAGTCGTAAAAAAAAGTTAACTCAAACCAAACTCATAAATCAATATTCCTCATTAATAAACGAGCATAGTAAAAAGGTTAAGGGAGGTCGGTGCCAGGAAGGGAAGAGCTGAGTTTTGCTTTGCTTAACTGTCAAGCACTTTGGCTCTGGCACGACTCGTCGGAAATTGCAAAGAGCCAATCCAAAACTAAAGCCCCTTCCGTAAACAAAAAAGCGGTTTTTGATTCTCTTCTCTCTCACTTCTCTCTTTCTCTCTCTTCCTCTCTCTTCCTCTCTCTTCACCATTTCCTCTCACTAGGGTTTTACGGAATCTCCCAAAGCTGATCCAGAATCCGCTGTGCTCCCCCTCCGATTTTCCCAGTGAGTTTCTCTCATTTTCTCGCATTTTCTCATTCCAAGGAAAATCTTGGTCGATTTCCGGTTCCTTCTGCGGAATTGGGTCGTTGGGTAGTTGTTGTGGTTCAGCGACGTTTCTCGGTGTCGGTTTGGGGTTTGGTTTCGTTTGATTTCTTCGTCGGAATTTGGTGAAGGACATTTGATGAGTTGTCCTGGTTGATTTTTGACTTGCATTTCGATGATTCCTAGGGAAATTGATAAGGCTTTGAGGTTTTTGTAAACCTAATTTCGTTTTAGCTGCTTGAGTTTACTCTTTGACTCTCGATTAGGTTTTTGAAGCTTTGATCTTGTAGAGTTGAAGAGAGTTTGATAGGGATTTTAATGGCTTCCAAGGCGAATAAGGAGAAAATTGGGAATTTGATTGCTGCAAGTAAGTCATTGAGGGTAAGCTTAGACAAATCAAAGGCCATAGGATTAGCTCTAGAGAAAGCAGGGCCTAGATTTGAAGAAATTAACCAAAGATTGCCTTTCCTTCAAGCTGCAGTCCGACCCATTCGTGCTGACAAGGATGCCCTTGTCGCCGTTGGTGGCCACATCAACCGTGCCGTCGGCCCTGCCGCCGCGGTGCTTAAGGTTTTCGATGCTGTTCATGGGCTTGAAAATTCTTTGTTGTCCGATCCTCGTAACGATCTTCCTGGTTACTTAGCGGTGTTGAAACGTCTGGAGGAGGCTTTGAGGTTTTTGAGTGATAACTGCGGATTGGCAATTCAGTGGCTGGATGATATAGTGGAGTACATGGAGGATAATGCGGTTGCGGATGGCGGGTACCTTTCGAATCTGAAGAAGTCGTTGAAAAGTCTCAGAGAGTGTGAAAATGCCGAGGGAAAAGTGCAGCTGGATGGTGGGCTCCTAGAGGCTGCATTAGAAAAATTGGAAAACGAGTTTCGGCGTCTCCTCACCGAACACAGTGTGCCACTTTCGATGTCGTCGTCTACTGGGGAACAAGCTTGTATTGCTCCTTCACCATTGCCCGTTACTGTTATCCAAAAGTTACAAGCCATTCTGTGGAGGTTGATTGCAAATGATAGGCTTGAGAAGTGTATATCTATTTATGTTGAAGTTCGTACTCTGAATGTCAGAGCAAGTTTGAAGGCTCTTAATTTGGATTATCTCGACATATCAGTTTCAGAATTTAACGACGTGCAGAGCATAGAGGGGTATATAGCGCAGTGGGGAAGGCATTTAGAGTTTGCTGTGAAGCACTTGTTTGAGGCGGAGTATAAGCTGTGCAATGATGTTTTCGAGAGGATTGGAGTGGATGTTTGGATGGGATGTTTTGCGAAGATAGCTGCACAAGCTGGTATTCTTGCATTTCTTCAATTTGGGAAAACTGTTACAGAGAGTAAGAAAGATCCCATAAAGCTTCTGAAGCTGTTGGATATATTTGCATCTCTGAACAAATTGAGACTTGACTTCAACCGGCTTTTTGGTGGAGCAGCATGCCTGGAAATCCAGAACCTTACAAGGGACCTTATCAAGAGCGTAATTGAGGGAGCAGCTGAAATTTTCTGGGAGCTCCTGGTTCAGGTGGAGTTACAGAGGCAGAATCCACCTCCTCAAGATGGAAGTGTACCAAAATTGGTGAGTTTCATCACCGATTACTGTAATAAGCTCCTTGGAGATGATTATAAGCCAATCCTAACCCAGGTTCTTGTCATTCACCGAAGTTGGAAGCATGAGAAGTTTCAAGAGAGGCTTCTCATCAATGAGGTTCTGAACATAATGAAAGCCATTGAGCTAAATTTGGAGACATGGATAAAGGCCTATGGAGATACCACTCTATCGAACTTGTTTGCGATGAACAATCACTGGCATTTGTTTAAACAGCTCAGGGGAACTAAGCTTGGGGATCTTTTGGGGGATTCTTGGTTAAGGGAACATGAACAGTACAAAGACTATTATGCAGCGGTGTTCTTGAGAGATAGCTGGGGAAAGCTTCCTAGTCACTTAAGTAGGGAAGGCCTGATTTTGTTCTCTGGTGGGCGTGCCACTGCACGTGATCTTGTCAAGAAAAGGCTAAAAATGTTCAACGAATCCTTTGATGAGATGTATAAGAAGCAGTCAAATTGGGTCGTCTCAGAGAAAGATTTGAGAGAGAAGACATGCCAGCTTATAGTTCAGGCAGTTGTACCCGTTTATCGCAGCTACATGCAGAACTACGGGCCATTGGTTGAACAAGATTCAAGTTCCAGCAAGTATGCTAAATACTCGGTGCAAACGTTGGAAAAAATGCTAATGTCCCTCTTCCTGACCAAGCCGGGGAGATTCAACAGTTTCAAAGGAAGGTCACCAAGTGGGAAATTCAACAATGGAGTTGCAGATCATCGTCGAACCGCCTCTGCAGTTATGTGATTATCCCTTTACCTTTCTGGGAAAACCCACATGCTTAGCCTTTCCCCTTTGTATATATGTACATCCGCAGGGACTGGTAAATGCATATGAATTTTCTTATATTGGTTTTAGAAACTGGGTCAGAAATTTCTTTCAATATTGTCATCCATTCAGTCTGAGGTTTCTCCACGAGATGGAAATTTTGTTGCTCAGATGACTATGTGAAGATCGAATTTGACTCTCACTGCCTCGAGGATCGTGCAAATTCATGGGGTCTCTTTGAGTTCCATACACAAGTGATCCGCAAGTTTACGATCCTCCATTCATATATATTATTGTATTCAGGTATAGCTATCAATTTTACGATCCTCCATTCATATATATTATTGTATTCAGGTATAGCTATCAATTTTACGATCCTCCATTCATATATATTATTGTATTCAGGTATAGCTATCAATTTTTATTTCACCCCCTACTCATTGATTCAATTGCTAGGCAGGCAGGCAGCAGTTAAAACTTCATAGCTCGGTAGATTTGATGTAAAATTCTTTGTTATAAAGTGCATTTAGAGGTGTAGCTGCGGTTAAACTTAATCACTTGTCAAGAAATGGGAAAAGGCCAAAGGGTAATTTATGCCAGGGGCTTTAATGGGATTTTGCTTTTCTTGCGCTACTATGTGGCTTATATTGTCAAGAATTTGCAAGTGTATTAAAGCCATGTTATTGAGATTTATGTCTGACAATAAATTGCCTCCTCATTTATGTAGTTCTTATTTATGTGATTATAGTATACATGCTTTCTTTCATTGTGTTACTTTTACTTCTCTAGATTGATGACTCTCATCTTAATTCATTTTTTCTGAAGAACTCATTTTGACTTTTGATTACTTTGTGGTGTTTTCTCATTTTGCCCTTTGCTTTATTTAATTTTTTGGTAGTTTCTCTTTCTATATAATTGACCTCACCATTTGTGTTGCGGGTTTAAACGAAAATTCAGATATTTTAGTTTTTACTACAGCATTTTTTCTCGTAACATTTCAAAGTTTTGTTCAAACTTTCTTGTTCTAACCTTTGAACAAAACAGATGCGAGGTTAAGACACTTTTAAAGTAGAAATAGAATAGAACTAGATGACCTACGCGTGTCTGCTTATTCTATGCGGGGATCACGTAACGGCTGTTGTTCATAGTTGTGTATCTATGCATTCTTCTCAGGGTTAGTACTTGTTCTGTCATATCATATACACGTCTTTTTTTTTTAATTTATATAATAATTGGCTGTTTTGCTGTTACTTGCGTCTTAAACAACACACATTTTCACTTGAATCTTTCTTCATCCCATACTTTTAACTATATTCCTTAGAGCTGGTTATTCTGCATTCATGGCGTTGTTAATGCAAGGGCTTTAGTGCGAACTTACAAGGAAAATATACTATTACGCGTATTACAGCTATTGTTATTGTTCTTTTTTCCTATGTATCACTAATTAACAGTTTATAAAGACCGATTACGACGAGTAAGGTATGTTTCAAACTCTAGTTTGAAATTTTTCATACAAATCAACTGTTTTATGTTGGCTAATGATAGCAGTATTCAAACGGTTGTTCTTTATCAAGATTGAAAAAATCTCTACTTGGGGCACCGTTTGGTTAGAGAGATAAAGAGTAAGAAGGATAAAGAGAGTTAGAGGGATGGAGACTGGAGAGTAATCCTTCATATTATTTGATATGATAAAGAAAGATTTAAAAGAATAAATGATAATTATTTATAAAATTATTAAATTGTCCATTTAAACTATTTGTTAGTAAACTTTGTTAGTAATTTGTTTAGAGGGTAAAATAGTTTTTAAAAGCTTAAAAAGTGGGGGTTGCTTAAAATCTAATTTGGTGGCCACGAAGAGACCACAATCTTCCGCCTCTCCTCCTCCACCTCTCTCCATCCATCCCTCCTATCAAACATACTCTAATAACGTTAAAGGTTGATGTGATTACCATAAAGCCTTAAAGATCAGTGGGGACCATGCCCATCTCTGACATTAAAAATTCGTGTGAACTCTCCTTTCAGCATGAACCCTGTCTTGTCTGTTGCTTTAGTTTGCGAAGAACTCTATGATATGTTCATATTCTTAAAAGTTTTGTTCAATTATTATAATTTTCTTAGGTCCTGTTCATTTTGCCGATTTGAGTTTAGAATTTAAGTTTTGCTACAGTAAAAAACTCTCAGAAATAGTCACATTTAAGTTTTTTGTTACAGTAAAAAGTTCTCACATAAAATCACATCTCAACTCGAATTATAAACTCGAATCAGTGAAGTGAACGGGTCCTTAGTGATTTTGATAGAATTAGATAATTAAAAGAGAGTTTCTTTGGTAAGGCCTTCATACTGGCAGAGTTTGTTTTTTACCGTTAAATCTAATTAAAATCACATCAGATTGATAAGTATGTAAAATAAATAATTTCTTATATAGATTTGTCAGTTAAAAATATAGTTATTAATATATTTTTTTAATCTTACCAAAACAAACTCTATAATTAAAAACTTCCAAAAAAAAAAAAAAATTTACTCTTCAAGAATTGATGTAAGCAATTCATACTATTCTTTAATCTTACCCAAGAAACTCTATAATTAAAAACTTCCAAAAAAAAAAAAATCTACTCTTCAAGAATTGATGTGAGCAATTCCTACTATTCAAAAAGATTGATTAAGCGCCGTCCTTTTAAAGTAGAACGACACATTTGACTTGCCATTGCCTGTGCTTTCGGAAGCATAATACTGTTAGCTTTAATCCATAAATATGGTTTTTACACCATACCCACAAATCTAAAAATCATGGCATTAAATTATTGAGAAAATAATAATAACTTTAATATATTATCCTATTAGGTACTTATTAAATCTAATTAGATTAATATTTAGTATCTACTCATTTCGTCTATACTCAGTTAAGAAATTTATTATATTTTCTTAAATTTACCATTTAATTATCCAATCAATTTAAATAATAATAATATAATTATCAATTAATATATTGCACACAACAGATAATAAGAAATAAAATTTCCTAACAAATACGTTATATGGTGCCTTTTCTGCTACCATTTCTTGACCATTAAAATCTCCTTTTTCTCAAATAATTCATTCTTGCTTTTTTTCCTCAGGCTGTTAAGAAAAAGCATCATGCGATGCGTTACTTTCATCCCCGAACTTACTAACAAACAACAATTACAAGTACATGTGTTAGCTTGAACCACAAGTAGTTTTGAGGTTAGGCCTAAGCATCTATCAAGTTCAACTACTCTTTTTAGGGGTAATAAGAAGTCACTTTTTCTAGAATATATTTTAGTCATAGGACTTGGTTTTTGTCTTTATCTGGCCATGATTTAACATCTCTGCATCTAACTTCACAAATATAATAAGATAAGATATTCAAAGAAGAAACGGAAAAGAAAATATATAAAGCACCGGACATTGCTGCTTGCTGCCTGCACCATTTTATTTATCAGTCTAGTTATATATTTAAATATAGATTTTAATGTAACGTGACATTTATTCAAAGTAATATTGAAGTTAAAAAAATTAACAACAATTTAGATAACTAATTTCTTAATGTTACACGTGTTCAACATTAGTGTTATATGAAATAAATTTTATATCACGTTTCTCACTTTTATGTGTAATGACAGTATAGTTTTATCGGCATAAATATAGACAACTTTTATAAATATTATATTTATTTATTTCTATAAGAAAAAACTAAATGATACAACGTTACAAGTCAGATTTATTTTCTACTAAAATATCATATTTTTTTTAGTTTTATATAACTCTAATGTGATCTAAAGATTTATTATTTTGTCTTGAATATTTTTTATTTCCCGTCACCAAAGCTTGCTTTATAGTGAGAAAAATAATCATTAGCACTAATTCTCTTTTTTTTTTTGGGTCTTTTTTTGGGAAATAATAGAAAATAGGCAAATATGAAAAGTTTAAGGAAGTATATTATCACACCCCTAAACCGGGGTTAGTGACGTGGAGGCTCGTTTAGAAACTTAAACCTGTTTAAGAGAATGATTAGCATAATAATTTAATTTCTTTCAAATCCAAAACATCCAGGTATTTCCAAACGAGCCCCTTTCATTCAAGAGAAATTTAATTTCAAGAACAGTGGTGGAATTTCCAACCAAACCAGTTTAAAACCACGTCCCTGGTATCATGTCAGGAATTCCCACAGGTGTTTAGCATACATGAATATAAACAAGAGTAAATGTGACATCAACTACAGTCTAGTAATATTTAAGTTTACAATCCATAATCTTTCATACATGCCTTGAAATAAAAGATAAGAGGGATACAACTCTTCGCTTCCCGAGGTCAAGTCCACGTCACTGGATGTAGCTACCTACTCCGCACTACTCCTCGCGTCGCCTGGAGGGGTTTAATACATTTAAAAGTAAGAAAGGTGAGCGAAAGGCCCAGTAGGATATAATTTTATAAAGCATTTAAAATAAAGGTACTCACGGTCCGAAGATATACACCCGGAACCGATCATCCCTTTTTAGAAAAGGAAATACTCACAGTAGAAAATATCTGTATAATGAAAGTGTACAGCTCATCATACCACTATACAAGAAGCGGTAAAAATGTCTGTCTATGAAAAGTGCAGAGCCATAATTCCACTTAACAAGAAGTGGATCCGTACGGGTTTCGGGACCTGCCCCCAAGGATGCGATTCCCACATCCCGATCTCTGTGGCCACCATGCGTTGTATCATTCCTTAAATAATTCATTTTAAGAAATGATACTCTTTAAAATCTCATTTTCAAAATCATTGGAAAACCTAATAGCATTCACGTGCTATTTCTTTTAAAATCATTTACTTTAAACATGTTTTGTTCTAAAACATTTTCATTGGCTAAAACCATTTAAAGTAAGGCTAACAAGGATATGGACAAGAATATCCTACCTGTTGGATATCAAACCTGGTTTGGCTTTCCGCTCTTCTAGCCTCCGCTTTCCTTTGAGGCTCCAATTCCAATCGTGCCACTAACTTTCCGATCAAAATCAACAATTTAGAGTTTGATCTTTCTCACCAAACATTCTTGTTTAATTAGATGCAATTGTATCATATTAG